GAATATACCATTAGATAGAGGACTACCATAAGAACATATTCCAACAAAACAATTGTGGTGACATCCCACGAGTTTTCGAACTTTTTGAGGTTCGAAAATGTTCAAGTATGAAAAAATTGAAATTTTTCACAAAATATCGAATTATTTCGAATCTTTCCGGTTCTGGGGGCAAAGATTTGAATATACCATTAGATAGAAGACTAAAATAGGAACATATTCCAACAAAAAAATTGTGGTGACATCTGACGAGTTTTCGAACTTTTTGAGGTTCGAAAATGTTCAAGTATGAAAAAATTTAACCTTTTTGCATTGGGGGTGGTCTGTGCAGTAATAATAAGAGCTGTGACGTCATCAAAATCGGTAATTGGACCTTGAACTTGATAATACTGTAAATACAATTGTGAATTTCAGAGTAATAATCATTTATGCTAGAATAGTCGTTTCGGTATTGTTGAAAACGTTGAAGAAAAAATTAATTAATTAGGAATTAATTATTAACCCTCTACTGTACACAGAATATCTCAAAGTCAAATTTTTTTTTAGAAAATTTTGAAATTTTTTTGCAAAAATTTTTTTTCGAGGAGTGTGTTTTAAAGATATATTGCTGAATAGAACTCCAGAAGACGCTTTTAAAAAGCCACGAGTAAAGCTTTAGGGCTTAATGGTTGACAAAAAAAATAAGTTTAAAAATACCCATAAAATTGTCAGGGATTTGAGCGGTCGGAAGGATATATTCTTATGTTAGTCCTCTATCCAATGGTATATTCAAATCTTTGCCCCCAAGACCGGAAAGATTCGAAATAATTTGATTTTTCATGAAAAAGTTCAATTTTTGTGTATTTGAACATTTTCGAACCTCAAAAAGTTCGAAAACTCTTGGAATGTTACCACAATTTTTTTGTTGGAATAGGTTTTTATGTTAGTCCTCTATCCAATGGTATATTCAAATCTTTGCCCCCGAGACCGGAAAGATTCGAAATAATTCGATATTTTGTGAAAAAGTTAAATTTTTTCATACTTGAACATTTTCGAACTCCAAAAAGTTCGAAAACTCATCGGATGTCACCACAATTTTTTTGTTGGAGTATGTTTCTATATTAGTCTTCTATCCAATGGTATATTCAAATCTTTGCCCCAAAAAACGGAAAAATTCGAAATAGTTCGATTTTTCATGAAAAAGTTCAATTTTTGTGTATTTGAACATTTTCGAACCTCGAAAAGTTCGAAAACTTTTCGGATGTCACCACAATTTTATTGTTGGAATATGTTTTTATGTCAGTCCTCTATCCAATGGTATATTCAAATCTTTGCCCCTGAGACCGGAAAGATTCGAAATAATTCGATATTTTGTGAAAAAGTTACATTTTTTCATACTTGAACATTTTCGAACCTCAAAAAGTTCAAAAACTCGTCGGATGTCACCACAATTTTTTGTTGGAATATATTCTTATGTTAGTCCTCTATCCAATGGTATATTCAAATCTTTGCCCCCAAGACCGGAAAGATTCGAAATAATTCGATTTTTCATGAAAAAGTTCAATTTTTTTGTATTTGAACATTTTCGAACCTCAAAAAGTTCGAAAACTCGTCGGATGTCACCACAATTTTTTTGTTGGAATATGTTCCTATATTAGTCTTCTATCCAATGGTATATTCAAATCTTTGCCCCCAAAACCGGAAAAATTCGAAATAATTCGATTTTTCATGAAAAAGTTCAATTTTTGTGTATTTGAACATTTTCGAACCTCAAAAAGTTCGAAAACTCTTCGGATGTCACCACAATTTTTTTGTTGAAATATATTCTTATGTTAGTCCTCTATCCAATGGTATATTCAAATCTTTGCCCCCGAGACCGGAAAGATTTGAAATAATTCGATATTTTGTGAAAAAAAGTTAAATTTTTTCATACTTGAACATTCTCGAACCTCATAAAGTTCGAAAACTCGTCGGATGCCACCTCTATTTTTTTTTGTTGGAATATGTTTTTATGTTAGTCTTCTATCCAATTGTATATTTAAATCTTTGCCCCCAAGACCGGAAAGATTCGAAATAATTCGATTTTTCATGAAAAAGTTCAATATTTTTGTATATGAACATTTTCGAACCTCAAAAAGTTCGAAAACTCTTGGAATGTCACCACAATTTTTTTGTTGGAATATGTTCTTATGTTAGTCCTCTATCCAATGGTATAGTCAAATCTTTGCCCCCAAAAACGGTATGATTCGAAATAATTCGATATTTTGTGAAAAAGTTAAATTTTTTCATACTTGAACATTTTCGAACTTCAAAAAGTTCGAAAACTCGTGGGATGTCACTGCAATTTTTTCGTTGGAATAAGTTCTATTAGTAGTCCTCTATCCAATGGTGTTCTCGAATTTTTTCCCCTATGACCGAAAAGATTCGAAATAGTTCAATTTTTTCGTATAAAATCACGGCCACACTTCGATATGACATTCGGTACAACTTTTTCAAGATTTGGCTGGAATTTTGCTGGCATTGCGGTGGCCTCTGGCCTGTAAGCTGTAACACGAGTTAGTGCTGTCCCTGTATAGTTCAGACTTAGTTTGGCTATATTAATACTATTTTAGTGTCAAATTTTGTTGTTTGAATCTGCATGTATAAATATGAGATTAGGATATGGGCCGGTACTGGTATTGAGTTCAGTTGCATATTGTTTTGACGAAAAGGTAATTGATTGTTATGTTCTTGTTTACACAGTTTGTTAAAATAATCTGTCAGAGAAGCACCGAATTCAATGTTAGTTACCGCAGTCTCAACATTGTAATTACTAATTAGCATATAACCGGGACACAATATTTCATGTTTGATAACATTACTGCATTATTTCTGGACTTTGTCCTGTAGAAGCTGATTTTCATGCTATTAAAATATTGAAACACGAGTCAAGCTGCATTGCATTGTTATTAGATCAGTCTGCTAGCATTCCATCAACAGACTAAGGAAGGGATCGAATGCCTGCAGCCACAACTCTAGTTAACTTATCGAAACGACTCGGACTCGACTACCAGGTCCACTTGACTTGGAACTCGAAGATGAATATGAGCGAGTCAGAGTTATTTCAAAAATCGGTTTAATTCAACTTACCAGGTTGATTCTAGCAAAAAATCGAAAATCTGTCTAGCTCAGGGTGGTCCAAGTTTGTCGGCTCCGCGGGCCACAAATTTATTTTTTCATTGTTCGCGGGCCACAATAGTGCCAAGAATAGGTAAACAGTGCAATACAAAACAGACACTTTTATTGTGCAAACACATAGTTATCAGACATAGCTATCCCAGGCTAATAGAATCCGCATTCGATTTTTAGTTTTTTTATGATGCCTCTATTGTTAGCATATATTCCCGACCAAAAAGATAGAAAGCCAGATAATAATTTAGACTGCCAAGCACATCATTCAACTTCGCCATTTGCCCCGGCTACCCATAACACTAGTCAATTTAGTGACATTAGTGATGTAACAATATGTCAAAAGAATTTTCTGATTAATTTTATTAGTTCGAAACAACACGAAATGCGATTTATTGATTACTCTCCGAATATGAGGCGGGCCACAGATAATAAAGCGGCGGGCCTGGGTTTGGACCACCCTGGTCTAGCTTATTGCAGCAGTAATTCATATTTGATTAAATCATATTTTGACCTTCAAAATAACGTCGATTCGACGCAAGATGGAAATTTCAGTGTCAATGTGATGCAATGTTGTTTATGAAATACTATGAATCCGACTCAAAACGACGTCGACTCCATTCGCCGGGCACGAGCTTCAATAAAATATTTTAGGACTCGAACCTGACTCAGATTAACGGTGACCCGACTTGCAAATTGAAGTCTAGGAACTTATACCCAACACTGCTTACAGCAGAACACATTCTTTGGTCTAGCCCAGGCCTACTCAACTGGCGGACCGCGGTCCAAATCCGGACCTTTTGGGTATTCGGACCGCGCCTAAATTTTTTTATTTTGGATTATTAGCCCCACTTTTGAATTTTTCTCTTATAAAAATCTTTTATAGATTTAAATATATATGAAAAGACCTATAACGCCATAATAAACAATCTTGATTAGCCGATAAAGTGCGTGTTTGAGGATGCCGAAATAAAATTTCTGGAAAAACCGGACCGAAATATTTTTGAAGTTTTGTATGCGGATCATCGGTAAAAATAGTTGTATAGCCCTGGTCTAGCCTGCAATGGTGGCTACAAATTTCTGCTGATCAGTAGGCCTACATCTTTCGTGGTATATATTATTATGCTTGTCAGCCTCCGGATTATTGACCACGAAAGTCATTGTTTGTCGATTTCCACTAATTAAGCAGGAATTCGTTACTGGACATTGTCATCGATGACATAACGGAGGGAAATCAGAAGATATAAGCACAACAGTAAGGAACCTCAGAAAAAAAGGGGGTAAAATACGCGAATAAATATATAGTTTCACGAGAATGTACTTGATTATGTATTCAATACCGTTTCGTAAGTACGGACATTGCCGGCTCGTTGATTTGTTTTTAAATTTGTTGCCACTTTTTGCACCCCAGTGACCTGGATTCGGCCCGAATACACGAATTCCTGTGTTGGCAAAAATGGAACAAGTTTCGTCATTTTCTCGTGTATAGCACTGACACTATAGTGTCCAGCACTTTTATGCTCAGTGGCAATGAAGCCTAGAATTAGGGGATTCATACAACCAGTACATGACTGCTACCATCAAATAACAACCCCGCTGCTTTGGACGCTACTTCAGTTTTTTCTATTAGTGCTCCGACATATGACTCGCATTATTTTGATGTGTTTGAACTCACTAATGTGTGTCTATAATCACTATATGTCGCTAATGAGCTATCTTTCTCAAAGCCCATGATGAAATAAAATAGCTGAATCTGAATTTGCCAGTTTTCAATTCTGTGAAACTATGTTAGTCTGACTTCTGCTTTCGCTATCCCTACAGGATCAACACCCGCAGAAAAATTAGACAAAGCGCGATAACGTCATAATGGCTTAGTTCGTGTTTCAATGAAATCGTAAAAACTAAATTAAAACAAAAATAACTTTACAAATGGAACGTTGGTAGATTCTGAAAATTCACAAATTCTTCATATTTCTCATCATCCAGTATGAGTTAATATCATTTTCCTCCCGATTTAGGCGATATCTTCTTTCATGCAAGTTATTGTTGTTCATGCCATAGCCGGTATCAAGACTATGAGATATTTTTTGTAAACAAAATAAAATATTTTTGTTCAACTTCAATTGTTCTCGGCTAATAGCTAGTCTATCTTGCATAACTGAGAGTTTTGCTCTCTCAGTGAGAATTTTCTCCTTTTTCATTTCAATCAACTCTTTTCTAAAATCATGGTTTGTGTCGTACAGTGTTGAAATTCTTTCATTGGATCTTTTTTCTGACGAACTTGAGTTTTCCGTGATATGTTCCCTAGATTGATCTAATTTTTGATTCCAGCAATTGAGGTCGATATTGGTATACGGATTAAACCTACGATGAGGACCTCGGTAGCGAATCCTTTTATTTGGAGACTTTGTTGGGATAATTTCAATAGGATCATGCCTCGGTTTCTTCTTATCTTTTCTTACAATTTCCAATCTTTTGGCTGGCATCCGATATGTTCTGTGTACTTTCATTCTCACTTTCTTCCGTATTTTACCAGTAGCGTCACCATTGGATGAGTTTGATTTGAGATTCTTTTGAGTTGTGCGAAGTGGTGGAGTGTTCAAAGCCTCTTCGTTGTCATCGTCATCGCCGTCGTTCGAATCACTTCCACAATCGTATGTGAGAGGTGGTGGAGTCTAAATGAAAAATAAAAATCATTGTCATCTTTTTTATGCGAATAGATCAAACCTACAGTGGCTGCTTTTGAAAAGATATCTAATTTTATTGGACAGAATGAATCTATTCGGGATCAACTGCGAAAAAATTCATATATATACGAGTATATTTCGTATATACAATTAGGAAAGCTAAAATATAACTGTGATTTATATCAAATGAAAAATACACAAAAATATTTCAACTACACACAATAGAATAATAATTTCGGTTGCAATAGAATTTTCTTTTATTTATGAACAAGTGATATTACTTGGCGAACGGTCAAATCTTCATTATTTTCTTCTTCATTTGACGAACTAGATTGAAATGAATTATGTGCATTCATTGCAGATAACACTTCTTTTATGACAGGAGTCATATTTTCATCGTCCACATTTTTTTCAACTTCGCCTTCTGTGAAAATAGCTTTGATTATTAGATTTCTAGTAAATGGAAAATCGTTATAAAGGGAAGCGTGACAGTTGATTCGTATATTCTTTAAAATATTGTTATATAAATTGTTAACAGGCCTGATTAGACTGTTATGAGGGAAGCATACAAGACATAATTGAATAAAACAGATAGCGTGGGTACAATTATATACGTGGCATTCTATTACAGGCGGTCTCAATAAGTATTCATAAAACAATTCTAAACACATGAACTTGAATAAAAGTCTGATATAGTTCACTATGAAAGAGGTTTCGCGCATGCTTACATTATTGTTAATTCAAGGGATCATCTGGTTGGTCCTAACGATTGTGATAGGGCAGGTTACGGTATATATTTCGGAATAATACGTCAAACCACTGCATAGATTTAGCAAACGACATAAAATTTATGCCGATATTTCATCAAATGTCATTTAGCCTTTGTTGATCGTTCTATTTTCATGCAATAGCTATGGTTAACTTATAACACGCTGGGCCTTCACTTTTTCAGACTTTGGATTAAATAAAAAAAAATGGTTCTCTTGTTGTTCAGTCAGTGGATGCAGTTTGACTCACCTTGGTCCTTATTCATTCTTTTATATGACTTTACCATGTACGTAAGATCAACCCATTTCTTGCGAACTTGTTTCCATACCCTTGTTTGTCCCGACTGTTCGTTTATCATTTCAGTAACTTTTTCCCAGTGTCTTTGCCTCTTAGCGTTTTTTCCAGGTCCGTCGTTATGAGAACCTAGTATCCTTACATAGTTCACTTTTACATAGGAACAGAGAATGCGAATTTCGTTCAGACTCCAGTTAGGACTTCTTGGAATGCCTGGTGATTGTTTTTTCTTGTGATGTTCGAGATTGACAGGTCCTGGCTGAGAGTCGGGAGTCATTTTACCAACAAATACTGACTGCGGTAATCGACAATTTGTCTTCCTGTATTACTTCCACAAATAATTAGATATCGTAACTATGCTTGAAAGTAGAATATATATATACAATGTAATTAGGATTAAAGTCTTTATCATGACCACTGATTAAACCAATCGACGCCTATTATTTTCGAAACAATACTCTTGTGAAAATTGCAACGTTTATACGATTTTCGGAATTTGAACAATCGGAATCCCGTTTGATTAGTCTATAAACCTTGATTACTTGTCGCAAAACTTCAAGAAACTGTCGTACGTTTAATTTTTGCTATTGTCTAATAGTAGAACAATACCTTATCAATGATTGGGTTTCCAGGGAATAATTTATTATATATACTCGCGAGCCAAACCTGGATCATCAAAATTTGATTGGAGACATTTAGTGGAAAGAGTAATTTTGTAATGTATTTTGGGAAACGATATTTAATTGACCGAAACTACAGCTTGGAAAGTTTTTTACATCGTTGTTGCGCTATTTTAACAACGATCAATCTTAAGCTATTTGCGATCGTAAGCACGATTTCAAATGTGGTTTTCGATTAATATCAATAGTTCGCAGCGATTGAAACAATTTTCGCATAAAAATAGTCACCATACACCGTGAAATCAACGTCAATATAAAAAGTTAACCGATATATAAAATATAGCTCTTGCAGCGAGTTTTTGGCCCTTCCATAATGGCTCTTTACATTTTTAGTGAAGGCTCAAAATCTACAATTCAGAAAAATTATATAATAAAATTACCTCATATTTATTTTTTTTTATCGAATCAAGTTGATCGGATTTGTAATGACGACTATGTTTTGTGGCACATCACTTTATATTTCGCCCTTACAGATTTAATCTGGTACTATTACACTGTTTCATAGAATTCTTCTAATTCATGACATACAAAAATATATTAGCTCGCACATGTAGTTAGTCTCGTTGACCGGCATTACTCTAAACAAAACCTGAAGCATGTTGAATAACGCTTTTTCGCGGCGATACTTCGTAAAAGTGATCGCAAATTATAACTTTGCTGCATGAAAAATAAAACTCCTGAAACAAATATTTTGAACTACTTCGTTGACACCATTAATTTTTAATATTTGAACAACCCTTTTCAGTCTACCGACACGGTTATTACTGATGGTGTTCTGAACAGTTTTTTTCAATTTTATACCTTACCTGCGTTCCGTTTATTCTCTCGTCGCCTCTGTTAACCAATCAAATAACGCATAGCTTTTTAATCGTCTGCATTATTTCGCACGCTTGTCTTTTGTAGCCTTATATCCTTCAGCAACGTGATTTACTCACACCCGACACACTGCACGCTTAGAAGTGAAGGTGTGTGGATTTCAGTGAAATTAATCGTCTATAATCGCATCAAATATGTATTACTCGGGATATCAAAGTGATCGCGGATGTCTGAAGAGTTAATCTAATCTGCGATCGTTATTATAACGGAAAGTACTCCGGGTGTCTAACAAAACAATAGACACGTATTTACATGGACATAATTATGCAAGAAACAAAGACGTTGAAGTGGACTTTTCCCCTCAGTTTTACAAAACTATTGCTTTTAGATTCAATTTACCCTGTTCATCGCGACTGCCCTGTATCTGCGTCATAGCTTGTTGATTTCACACTGGCTAGATTTAGGATTATGATGCCATAATTCTCTTCTGGTAAATTACCAGTCTGCATGCTTTTAATTTATTCTTGGATTTAGGAGTGTGTCGCTATAAGACATGTTTTATTGGTACATTGATTTGCCGTTTAATAAACTAATATTTTTGTATACTGGTGATTTGGTAATACCCAAGACATCACAATCGCTACCATAGAGCGCATCGTTCCGACAGTATCTGGCGAACCGTTGCCCAACCCTTTCTTTCAAACTAGAAAGGGATTTGAGAATTTACGCCAAAGGTTTATACTTTCATGCCATACATTGCGTAATAGAACGGTAGAATCAGATACAAAATTTGGCTATTTTTGGTCGAAAAACTATCAATAATATAATTTATTTTCCTTTTATTTGAATTAGATTGAAATCTTAGCTTACGAAATTGCAGAAAGTAGTGTCTACCTCTATTGTCACGTAACAATATAGGCAAACATTATCTTACAGGAGATAAACGACATAGAAAGATGCAACCTTTTTTAAAGGCGGGCCAAATACAAGTAACTGGGTAAAGCCGCGGGCCGCACCTAGAAAGTCTACCTGCGAAAGTCCCCCGATACGGAATATTTGTAGTTTTCATTCGGTATTTCTCTGTTCTTTCTTCTTACAGTGTGTACCTTGCAGAATTTTCTACTTGCGAAGGGGTTTTCGTAATTTGAACGAAATTAATTTGTCTCAAGTAAGCACGGACGCTCTTCACCTTGAAATGCTATAATCCGTTCCAAGTCCCAACAAAACCAGGACATAATATTTTACTGGACTAAGCGAAGAATGTCGAGAGTTGGAGGACGGCGGTCGGAGAAGGCGTTAGAAGTTGAAGTCTAGGAGAGAACGAAATGTACGAAAATGAGCACACGCACATGAAATTCAAAATTAGAATGTACTATTTTTATTTTGCAGTTTTATGTATTTTTTCATTTTACTTTCTTTAGTTTTAACTGTTACGCGTATTCATCGTCTTCCCAACTGAAACTGAGTGAGACTTATTGTACGGGCCAATGGAATGGCAGATTGTTGATTACCGTGTGACAGGGCAGCTACCACGGACATGGGACTTTTTGTAGTGATCACGACACCGTTCGTTGAAGCAGTAAAACGCAAATGTAATTACGCGATCATCGTCATTATCAAATGAGTGAACCTGATTCCCAAATTCACATCTGCAAATAGCAGAGAATTGATAGCGGAAATCCTTTTTTATTTTTCGAAGCGGCGCTGATTTAAATATTTCATGTCGGCTGTTATAATTATATTTTTGCACATAAATTAATACCGCCAACCTAAACTTAACGATATTGTCATCAACAACGTCAATAACGATAAAATTCGCAATAGATATTTAATATTATTTAACAGCTATTTTATACGCTGTAAATTGTAAGAAATGAACAAATGTGTCCTCATGTTCGAAGGATGGAAACAATTAACTACAACACAATTTGCTTTTAGATATTTTGCCGAGGCCGCAAATTATCTCGACAAAATTGAAACATACGATAATGATTGTAAAATATTTCCAATCAAAACCATCCTGATGTGTTATAAGCACTTCAAGTCATGCTTTCAAAATGTTTTAGTTAAATCTAAACGTTGACGGCGGCGCTAGGATATGTCCGCCATATTCGGTATTCTTACAAACACAAAGAACATTAATCGAAGTTCGCGATATTCGAATAATAAATTCTAATTGGACATCCGTGCTTCATGCACTGAATTAAATTAACTCAAAATAAACAAATGTTACTATACGCGTTTTTTGTTTTCGGTTTTGGGCCTAATGTTTCTCACGTTAGTCGAAGCAATATTTTTACAAAAATTATTTTCGTAAGTTGGATTTTTCCTATCCAGAGCCTTTGTAGGTGGAGTTTCTACTGAAGATGCAAGCCCAAAAATAATTTTTTTTTGTTATTGATCGTATGGCATTATTCGAGGTCCTGGCAGAAATAAAAAAGGGTTGAAACGCAAAATTTTAGAAAACTGCTGTTTAAATTCATTATCACACCGACTTTAAACGAATTCCGTGAGAAGGAAACACGTTTTTATAACATTGTGTATTTTCCAACAGGATCTTGCTAGCTAGGTCCACTGATATAACAGTGGCACTCGAGTACTATTAAAGGCTTCGCGACCCGATGTGATTGGAATTGCTCATACGTTCCAGATTAATTTAACTTAAAGCTCGTTTAGCGAATACATCCTTCAAAATTGGCACTTCCCCACGGGCCGCACAATTTTTCTCTGCGGGACGCATTTGGCCCGCGGGCCACAGTTTGCACACCCCTGATTTAGGGGATGGCTTATATTAATATCATTCCTAAAAATCAGGCTAGGTCAGATCTTATTTTTAGGGTAGGTCTTACTTTCGGGGAAACACAGTATAATGAATCATCCTCCCCATACCTCTCGTGACTAGAAACGGGTGTTCAGGTTTTCTACCATGAAGTTTTTGGACAGCCTAGCCCTAGAGTTTCTTGACGTGCTTTTAAATTCAGCTTGTTATCTAATATAATTTGATGATCAGCATACGTAACTTGCCTGTAAGGCTGTAACTGAAATTTGAAAAATCATTTTGATGTCATAATGCATTAACACAAACCCCCTTAAATGTCTTATGTGACGTCACAATATTTTCTACAATGCGTCATGTTAAAGAGGCGTCGCATAAGACAGTGTTCTTTAAACTGGGCGATGAGTCGCTGGAGGGCCCATAATAGAGGCTTAGGTTTGGCCGGGACGGTCCCGGTTTTCGCAAGTTTTTCCGCCGTCCCGGCGGTAAACCTAAACGTCCCCGTGAGAGATGCATGCTCATTTAATCATTCTTATTCGCGCTTGGCTCAAAGATAGTGTACCGGATGCCCAGTTTTCGTGATTTCCGAAATATTCCGAGGGTAGCCTACGTGAGAAAAATTGATCTATTGATTAGAATGTACTATACTACTATAGTTGTATTTCTCGTGTCTACACGAAACAGATTTTCAACGGGATGCGTTGGAATTAACATATCACATATTACAAATATTGACTGATAGTCTAATCGTAAATATATACTACTACGGTCTAATGCAGTGTTTCCCAGCTCGAGTCCGCGGAGCATTTGAATGAGTCCTCAACGAGCAATAACGTTTTAGAAAGTTATGTAGTAGTACATTTCATGTAGATCACCAACCTTTTTAATGTCGCGAAATTCATTGCGGGGCGAAAACGTTTTATTAACAGACTCAAGTACCAGTCGAGTTATGATTCACATTAGTAATTACATAAAACAAACTAGTTTATTCACATAAAATTAATCGAGTCAATAATTACTGAGTAGGCAAATGTTACTGAGTTACTGGGCAAAATATTCGAACAGCGAACTATCAGAATACTTGGTAACATGTGACTCCGACACGACACGTCAATCGCGCCTAGCTGAATCAAACGATTGGATTGCACAAGGCACTTGCGGATTTCTAACAAAACCACACAGGTTTACAGGTACCTTTCGCTTACGTTAAATTTGAGTGTTATATATATATATATATTTTTTTTTTATCTATTCGTTTCTATCATTACAGTACGTTACATATTGATTATTCGAGAAAGCATCGCCAGATGATGTTTATAAGATGAGACCATCCATACTCGTTGACGCATTGAAGTAGTGTGCGTACGCCTACAGAAACTCCACGACGGCTATTGATGAAATATAAAAAATGACTTGCAACCAGCAGAAAGTAGATATAATAATGATATGAACATCATTCCATGATATAAACATCATTCACCGGTAAGCCTTTACATTTTGCCTGTGCAAAATAAGACATAAAGTCGCCAGTGCATAAGAGAAAGAAAAAATTAAAAATAAATGTTAAGCCATCAGTTAGTTAAATAAAAAACGATTCAACTGAAAATGTCATTTATTATATGCAAAGACCAGAAAAATATGGAAATGTCATTGACAAGAGAATGAAACGGTAGTAATGCTGAAAAAGGGTATATATGGAACAATCCTAACCAATAAAAAGCATAGCAATTTAGATGCCGTAAAGCAGCGGTTCTTAATGTGATGAGATGCCTTTTGTAAAAACTCTCCGTGCATGCGACGCAGTAGTGAGAAAATATTTGAAAACAAAATGATGTAAACCGTTTGTATCGTTTTCAGTACAAGCTGAATATTCGTTATTCAGGAAAATTCACAAAAATTTCAGTTCAATTGAACTTATTCTACAGTGAACTCGGAAAGTAACATTGTGGTTTGATTTTATCAGTAATTATTGATTACAGTTGTGTAATAGTTTATTTAAATACTCATACAGTCAGTAGAGTATGACTTGCAAATTGAATATTTGTGCGACGTAAAATTAAAATGACTTGTCAGTGCGCCGTGTCGCACCATTCGAAAACTCCTGCTGTAAAGAAATAGGCCAATAATTTAAAGCATTAAAATGACACAACATTAGTCTACGAAATAAATGACGGCAAGATTTGATAATTACACAATTTAATTGTTAGCTTGTACTTGCAACTTGAT